GGCATTAAGTAATGGCAATTTCGTCTAACGGTGCTTTTTGCCGTAGAAAAAATGCCTTAACCAACGGCGAAAAACTCAACCATCGACGTTTGTCTGGAATGTGTCGATGTGCCTGGAGACTCCAAGAGTCAGTGTGCCATTGTTTACAAGCTGTTGTGGTCGGTTTCCACGTGTGCCTCCCATATATTTTGGATTATTCCACCATTTCTAGTGCTTGTAACTGCTAAATAAGCCACCATGGTTCCCAAGAAAGCTTCTAGTGCCAAGCCTGTGTTAAAAAGGGTGAGAATTACGATGGAAATGAAGGAGATCATTGAAAAATACGAGAGTGGAGTGCGTATGGCTGAATTGGAAAGGCAATACAACAAATCACATTCAACCATCAGTACTATCTTGGTGAACAGACAGGCAATCAAGGAAGCTGTTGTTGCGAAAGGTTCAAGTATGATTTCAAAACGGAGACCACAAATAATTGAAGAGGTAGAGAGACTGTTATTCGTACGGATAAACAAAAAACAATTATCAGGTGATAGTGTTTCTCAGTCTATAATTTGTGAAAAGGCAAGGAAATTGCATGATGATCTCATTAAGAAAATGCCTCAAAATAGTGCTACTGCTGATGAATTTAAGGTCAGCAAAGGCTGGTTTGAGAGATTTAAGATTCGTAGTGGCATACACAGTGTGGTAAGGCATGGTGAGGCAGCCAGTTCAGACAAATGCAGCTGAAAAATATGTAAAGGACTTTAAGGAATATACAGACTGAAAACCTAAAACTTGAACAAAGTGTTTAATTGTGACAAAACAGGCCTGTTTTGGAAGAAAATGCCAAACAGGACCTACATTACTCAGGAGGAAAAGGCACTCCCAGGACATAAGCCTATGAAAGACAGGCTGACATTAATGTTGTGTAGTAATGCTAGTGGTGATTGCAAAGTGAAGCCTTTACTGGTGTATCACTCTGAAATTCCCAGTGTGTTCAGGAAAAACAATATCGTCAAGGGTAATTTGTGTGTGCTGTGGAGATCAAACAGTAAGGCATGGGTCACTAGAGTATTTTTCTTGGACTGGTTTTATGGTGTGTTTGGCCCCACTGTGACAAAATACCTCCAGGAAAAGAAATTGCCCCTCAAGTGCCTCCTGGTAATGGACAATGCTCCTGCTCATCCTCACGACTTGAAAGAGGAAATTGCAGGGGAGTCTGGTTTCGTTAAGGTGAAATTTTTGCCTCCTAATACAACTCCTCTCCTCCAGCCCATGGACCAGAAAGTCATTTCAAACTTCAAAAAAACTCTACACAAAAGCAGTGTTTCAAAAGTGCTTTGAAGTGACCTCAGACACTAAATTGACCCTAAGAGAGTTTTGGAAAGATCACTTCAACATCCTCAGTTGTGTAAACCTTATATGTAAGGCTTGGGAGGGAGTGACTAAGAGAACCTTGAACTCTGCTTGGAGGAAACTGTGGCCAGAATGTGTAGAACAGAGGGATGTTGAAAGGTTTGGGGCTAACCCTCAGGAGGCTATGCCAGTAGTGGAAGCACATGTTGCACGTGTCTTAACTTTCATATTGTCGGTAATTTATACCTTTCTTGCACAACTTGTCAGGCACTGCAACATCATGGAATCTTGGTTCAGAGGACATCTACAAGACCTTCATGGCTGCTACAACTAACCCATCCCTTTGGGTAGTACCTACTTCCACTGGGGAATCCCGCCTACCAGTGACTATGCCCTCGTCTGCTACACGTCCTTATCCACTGACACCTATATAACCGCCAGTCTTCTTGCCTTTGCTCCAGATTCTCCTCCACCACGATGCTGTGAACACTAACTTCAAGGCTGAGGGACTGATTACCTCATCTTTTGTATATAGTTCTACTGTCTTCTAATTATGTCCTAGAATCTGTATTGATAAAGCCACTGGATGGCGAAACGTCTACAGTAAAGATATCCAGATGTTGCACATGTGTCTTAACTTTCAAAATTGAGCTAGGAATGGTGGCAACACACACCCCAGTACTCATAAAACATAAACCTCTCATCCACCTTCCCACCCTGCCAGACTTCAAGCAAAAACATTACAGTACAGAGTGATTGCTGCATCTCGCCCTAGAGGATAAATATTTGCTCTGAATATAACTTATTCTTTGAGTTAATGTGCAAATTCATACTGCTAGAAGATCTAGGGATAATAATTATAATTCACAATAGACTTGTACCAATAAAAGTAAGTGACAATAAAAAATTTTGAAAGTGTGTTAGCCCACCGCATCATTCACAGCCGAAAAGCATGGATATAGGCACTACATGACTGAAGCATAAACAGTAGATAGGTGGAATGTTCTTGCAGGTTCTGTGGATGTGGCCAGGATACCAGGCATGCCCAGAGCAACCCAGAATTAAAATTTCTTATTTTTCTCCCAGGCTCAACCACTTTGTGACGAATGTGTGTTGAATAAACTGAGGGTGTTTATGTACAAACCAGGTCATAAGGATAACATGTAGGAATGTACATAACTTGAAATTCTACTGATACAGTAGACATTGCTGTGATCTTTGAAAGCGAGATTCTCTGATATTATCACTTCCGGGTCCTTCACATTAGTGTTTTGCTCTATTGTGTGCTTGGAATTTGTTTTATACTCCAATCCAGTTTTTATTTCCTCAAGTTTTCCATAGTGGAGTAAATTAAATTTGTCCTCAATGAACTTCATATTGGTTTCTGAGGCCCACTAAACATCTTTCAGAGTTACTTCATAATAAAGGAATCTCAAATTATATGTTCCAGGTCTCTAACATTTCATCTGTGCTTAGTGCACCCCCATACTGTGTTTTAGTTTTCATTCCTTGGTACTGCCATCCAAATACAGTACCAAATGAACAATTAAGCTTGGTTGGTAGTGCACTCAGTTCCCACACTGAGTGTTCATGGTTCAGTCCCTGATACAAGTGGAAATGTTGGGCATGTTTCCTCACACTTGCTGTCCTTGTTCACCTAGCAGTAAATAGGTACCTGGGTGTTAGAAAACTGTTGTCGGTCGTATCCTGGGGGACAGGATTTAAGAACCCCAATGGAAACAGGACAGACAGCCCCTGATGCTGCACAAACTTTACTGGGCTATCCTTGGTGATCAACCCTCTGGGTTAAAAATCCAAGCAATTTTATCTTACCTTAAGTTTTTACATTATTTCTCAAAACATTCAATTAGTATCTATACATTACTACTACTAGTAACAGCAATTTTACAGCTATCCCATAAAAAAAAATATTTCCAATCATTAGGTATGTAGCCCTGTCTATAAAATATAACTTGTACCAAAGGCATCATTTGCATGGTCATCAATGCTACTGTTAACCAGTTTTCATGTCCTGCTCTCTACCAAACATTTCAAATTAACGACCATTTTCTTTCCAACACAAACAACGTACAGGTCGAGCATCACTAATCCAGCATCATAGGGACCATTAAATTCCTTAAGAAACTCATGTATCGATCTGCCAAAGTTAACTACACTCAGTAGGCACCTCAAAATGGGTGCAATACTTACACTAGCCAAAATTAGTGCTGGATTAGTGACTGCTGGATCAGTGATGGCTGATCCTGTACTGTACATAACTCATTGTCTAGTACTTAAAAGTTAGTTTTAAGGCTGCCTGAAATGGTTTGCATAACAAGGGGCTTTCTATAAAAAGTAGTTTATACATGGCAATTACCAGAAATGTATACTGCACAGTATGCCACTTTATAGAAATAAAGTTGTTCATTTATTTGTTTAACTGGTATTACATACACTGAATTATAATGTCTTTAGTAATTTGCCTCTCCTTGTTTATGTATATCATTTCAAATTCATTTCTTATTAAAATAAAATGCTTAACAAAAGTAAAAAACAAACTGTTATAAACACTGACCTGGTATGCTCTGATGATACCCTGCACTGCCAAATGGTCATCAATAACACTGTCTGTGAGCTGTGTATCACTAATGGCAGGAGTTATGGCAGGGGCTATGGATGAAAGGGGCACGTGATGTGGTGAGGGCTCGGCTAGTGAAGGTGGTGCTGTGTATGCCTGTCCTGGAGTTGCACCAGAAGATGTATTTCGGAAAAATGTATCCCATGACTGAAAAGAAAAAAAATTATAATACTAAGTAACTATTCCACTCCTTATATGATAGAAGAGTCAGAGGCTGGCACTGTTAAAGTACAGTCAACCCTAGCTTACTGACCAAGACAGAAACCAGCTAAAAGGTTCAGCAAGAGGAAAAATACATTAAGCAAACCGCATTTTCCTATACAGACCCAGGTTATAATCTGAGATGTAGACAGGAACAATAATATTCTGTATCAAATTCATAACTATGCACTGTATTCATTAGAGAGATTGACTTACCTCTCCCCATTCTTATTTTTAATTCTCCTAAATCCCTGTTTCTCTCATTCTCTCCCAGCTTAGAAGAGCCACTGCCAGTAATTTTCCTCTAGTAATCATTTTGTTGCAATTAGTTTTCAAAAATAGTTGTAAATATGATTAAGAAATAGTAAAAGCAACTAATAAGGCCAAGAGACAGTAAAAACCAGAGGCAATGAGAAAAATACTCCATACTCTGAACGTCATCTATATTTAAGCACTTCCTATGGATGCAAACCTTAGCTACAGCATAACCATGGGATCAAGCAATTTTATTCTTCAACATATACTTACTTATTAGGAGAAAAAATGATTTTGTGTAGATTACTGTAATTTTAATTATCACCAAGTTGCATTGCATGTAATAAATGCTATATGCCCTTAACAACCTGATAACTCCTCTTGCTCTGACGGTAATTTCAGCCTTTCACTCTAATCCTGTGGTATTTAGGTTACCAAAACTTACAAATTCATAACATCAAATTTTGTTAAATGTATTTTAATGGTTCTGGAAAAAATAATCCCCATGACTCAATCTCAGACCAGGCCTCCCAGGTCAGAAAAGGAAATACTACAGTATTAAGAACATATTAGTGTGTATAATGAATGTAACTAGAAGTTTCTAAGATTTACCTGTCACCTTACAAGTTAAGGAGACAAAAGGAGACAATCAGCAACCTACCAGAAAAAAAAAAAGGCTTCCATTCCACACTCATTTGACAGGAAGGCCTTATGTCCCTAGATGAAAACATATAAACTGCAGCACTTGTATGTAAATAATCAATAAATAAATTTTTAATTTTAATTTTGTAATACTGAGCATAAATATATGAAGAACATAGTACTTTTTAAGTCTTTAGGTTTTAAATCTAAACAATGTAATCAGAATGTAACCCCCCAAAATAATAAAATGTTTTTAACCAACCTGATGTACACTTTTAGGATCCTGAAGCCAGGCATTGTACATTTCTTCTACATAATTGGAGGAAGAGCCATTCAGAAAAGGTTCAGCAGCGAGAGCATTTGGTGCAGGTGGGGCTGAAGCCTTACATCGTGAGCCACCCAGAGCCAAGGCTTGTGTTGTTGCCCGAGGAGCCCTTGGTGGTACCCGTGACAACAAATGTGACAATACACGTGCCCTATTCATTTTGATGAGGGTTCCAAGTTATACTGAAAAATTAGAAAAAAAATCTTTAAAATACCACACAACAAATTTACATGCAAAAACAATTATATCCTGGTTTTTTCTTCAATGCTGCATAAGCTTCATACTATATGGCAAGTTTACACACACAAAAAATTATGTCCTTTTTTTCCTCAATGCAGAACAAGCTTCAAACAATGTGACTATTTTCAGAGGAAGATATATACACCTATGACATCCATTATAAGAAAAGTTTCTCCATGCATAGGTTCAAATCTGATACAAACACAGCTAAAACAGACATTTATAGTAAACTGAGGTTAGGCAAAATAAGATAAGATAGCATGTTGGTGGTATGAGAGAGTGGGTGTTACTTGATGGCTGTGTCTAAGCTGGACAAAAATTTATTTGATAAATATCTGGAGATGAAGCTGTCTGGCTTCTGTAGGACTGTGTCTAAGATTGCTTCATAACAATCTAAGCATTTCCAGACTACAGTGTAAGAGGAAGATTAGTACAGCATCGGGGTAATGACGGGCAATCAGGCTCAATCCAATTGAACCAATCCAGGTTCAATTTCTTTCATCAAGGAACCTCCCTTGATAGAAAGGAGAGAGGTACAATTCTTTGGATCAAGAGCCCCCAATGGAAATAAGTCACTTTGACTTTCTGGGGTTATCCTAGGTAATTTATACTAATAATTAACTTCTTAAAGGTAGTAGGTTGGTAGACAGCAACCGCCCAGGGAGGTACTACCGTCCTGCCAAGTGAGTGTAAAACGAAAGCCTGTAATTGTTTTACATGATGATAGGATTGCTGGTGTCCATTTTTCTGTCTCAAACATGCAAGATTTCAGGTACGTCTTGCTACTTCTACTTACACTTAGGTCACACTACATACATGTACAAGCATATATATACACACCCCTCTGGGTTTTCTTTCTAGTTCTTGTCCTTGTTTATTTCCTCTTACCTCCATGGGGAAGTGGAACAGAATTCTTCCTCCATAAGCCATGCGTGTTGTAAGAGGTGACTAAAATGCCAGGAGCAAGGGGCTAGTAACCCCTTCTCCTGTATATATTACTAAATGTAAGAGGAGAAACTTTCGTTTTTCCTTTTGGGCCACCCCACCTCGGTGGAATACGGCCGGCGTGTTGAAAGAAATTAACTTCTATGTACCTGTGCCTAAATAAGCTTTGTTACTTACTCAACAACAGCAAAGCGCCACTTCAAATGACTAGCAGATTAAAACTTTCTTTGGTTACCATTTTGGATACTGATGTAAACTTTAATTTTACCAGAATGTTAATTACTTGTGACTTCATTAAGGTCTAGTTGTGTTCAATAGTATATATAGAGTATTCACTGCTGTAGTGCCGTTTACAACCAAGCAATCCCACTAGAATATTTCTAAACTGGTTGTAATATTGTCTCTAGGGAGACTAGTATACCTTGTTTTCTTATCAACTAACTTGAATCCTTCAGAAGAATTACTGGGATATTCTAGACAAGTTATCATAAAAAGCCACTTTTATAAGATTATATATTATACCATCTTTAATAATTACAAATACGTATACAATACTGTATTGTAATACAAAATTTAAAGGCAGATTCCTTTTACATAATTACATCTATATATTGAATGGCTTATCTAAGACCTAAACAAATATAAAAATCTAAGAGTATTTAAGTCATTTCAAGCCAATTGGTGTACTGACTTAATAAAATGTACTGTAGATATCCTTGGCAAAGTTTACAATAGATAAGTAAATAAGTAAGCTTATATGTACTAGAAAAAATAATGCCTGAGTGAATTCAACAACAGGTAGGCATTTATCTAGATGCGACCTGGCATGAACAAGTTTAGCTTACACTGGCACCAATCCAACCATCATCAATATGGTGCCAAGACACTCCCCAATATGCCTGTTTGTGCTCACGTTTGCCAATTCAGAAATCAGGGCCAAGTGTAAACTATGGCTTAGAACATTAGAAAGGAGGAACACTGCAGCAGGCCTACTGACCCATGCTAGGTAGGTCTAACTCACACCCACTCGTGTACCTTTCCAACCTATTTTTAAGCTGCCCAAAGTTCTCATTTCAACAATACTATTCAGCAGTTTGGTCCGCTCATCCACAACTACATTATACCAAATCAGTGTTTTCCTATATTATTTTTAATAAACACCATTTACACTCTAGAAAGGAGTAGAATTCGGGGGAATTTGATTAACATGTACAAATAGAAAACAGTAAAAGATAAAGGGGATATAGATAATCCCTTTTATTTATTACCTAATTCCACACCTTTCTGGATTGCAAATGGTGTTTAATGGCAAATGTTTAGATACAGCAGTTACTTACTGTACATGCCAGTATATAAGCTGACCCCTAAAATTCTGAGATGCTAATTCAGGTTTACAACTATATTTGCCCAATAGGTCATTCCCCACCAATAAAAAAAAAAAAAGCAACACCACTTTCATTAGACTGTCAAGTTCAGAAGGTCTGAGTGGGCCAACAAATAAGTACCATAAGCAAATATTTGAAAGAATAAAAAGGCACAACACTGAGTGGAAAAATGCACAAATAAACCGCGCACTGAAGACAAACTTATGACGATGTTTCAGACAGACTTGGACCATTAACTAGTCATGTGACTAGTTAGCGGTCCAAGTCGGACCAAAACGTTGTCATTAAGTTTCAGTCTCAAATGTGCGGGTTATTGTGTAGGGAATATCAGGAAAGAGTGCATCTCATTTTCTCCAGCTTAATTTTTTTAGTGTTTTGGGTACTATTTATAATTAGACGTGCAATTCTGTTCATTAAAAACAAGTGTTTGGGCAACAAAAATAAAACAGGTAAGTAGTAGCATATAAAACTTGTAACTGTGATACAAGTTACAGTACTATCACGATAGAATCAGTAGGTAAGTAGGGTCATTTCCTTCTTTTGGTAATGTGGCATGGCCTTATTTTTACCTCTGCCATTTATGTATCAGCAACTTTATACCTGGCTTAAAACATTGATGTATATGCCTGTATCTTCATTTCTATTCAATCACTCCACAAAACTGAAGATCACTGAATCAGTTCAAAATAATGTCATACTTTTGAAACTACTACTATTCATTAGCTACCTTTCTTATTGTACATATGATTGTAGTTAACTGCATAAGAAATCCTATGTCTGAAGAAACCTAAAAGCATTAGGATTAGTTTCCCAAAAATGCATTGCATACTAGCGGCTCTTTTCTGCATACCAATGTATACTGCATAAAGAAATAAAAAATTGTATTTGTATTTTGCATATACTGTACTGTACTTGTTTATTTGGTGTACAGTGTACGTCATGTACAGAAGCATGATAATGAGATACAACAGAACACCATTATTTTTTAACACACTGGCCGTTTTCCACCAAAGAAGGGTGAACCGAAAAAAAAAACTTTCACCATCATTCACGCTATCACCGTCATTCCAGAGACACACACATATGATAGTCTAGATGTCACGCTAAACATCAAATATCACAAACTCCTCCTTTAATACCATATATTTAAGTGAATTGTTTATTTGGTATACAGTATACGTCATGTACAGAAGCATGATAATGAGATACAACAGAACACCATTATTTTTTAACACACTGGCTGTTTCCCACCAAAGAAGGGTGAACCGAAAAAAAAAACTTTCACCATCATTCACACTATCACCGTCATTCCAGAGGCACACACATATGATAGTCTAGATGTCACGCTAAACATCAAATATCACAAACTCCTCCTTTAATACCATATATTTAAGTGAATTGCATTAAAATAAGAAAAAGGAAAGTATTGTGTAGCCAAATACTATACAAAAGTGGCATTTTGTGACAATTTTCAACATCCCAGTAATTTAAAAAAAAACAATCCTGCCAGGGTTCAGTTTGTCTTGCCTACACACACGTATATATTTTTCTAAGCAAAATATAAAACACAATTTTTTTTACTATATTCATTCCTCCTAAGATTCACATTTGCCTAGTATATACTGTACAATAAATCATCAATGCTTATGTGGTATAGATTTATATTAAAAAATAATCTTCCCTTTCTGCAACTTCCCCATTACATATGCTCATCACCTTGATTGAGTCAATGGCAATGTTTCAGTGAACTCCAATAGAAATAATTCAAGGATCCAAATAGAAATAAGTCACTTTGTCTAACTTTCACTTTCACTTATTTTTTTTTTTTGGGGGGGGGGGGATCCTAAGTAATTTACACCATGTACAACAATTGTACTTATGTGTACCTATGCCTAAATAAACTGATTTACATGCTTCCTTGCACCCATGTCCAGGATTCTATTACATTCATTGCAGGTGCACTGAACCCATATGGGTCATACAGCACATTGGAAAATAGTAAGTAATCAGGTTCAATTCAAGGAAAGATAAGATAGGTCCAATTCCTTTGATCAAGAGCCACTCAACAGCATCAAGGCAAATTTCATGAGGGGTTGCTCAAGCTAAGTCTTCCCATATTATAGTATTTTGGTTTATATATTTTCTGCCAAAGCATAGTAGCATAAGATAAGATTTCGTTCGGATTTTTAACCCCGGAGGGTTAGCCACCCAGGATAACCCAAGAAAGTCAGTGCGTCATCGAGGACTTTCTAACTTATTTCCATTGGGGTCCTCAATCTTGTCCCCCAGGATGCGACCCACACCAGTCGACTAACACCCAGGTACCTATTTGCTGCTAGGTGAACAGGACAACAGGTGTAAGGAAACGTGTCGAAATGTTTCCACCCGCCGGGAATCGAACCCGGGCCCTCCGTGTGTGAAGCGAGAGCTCTAGCCACCAGGATAGGCAGTTCTGTACCACTGTCTACATAAAACTGTATAAGAGCCAAATATAGCTTCTGTGCATTAGCGGGCAAGTCCTATGCCTGCCTTAAGAAAATCTTTCTCCTAGGTAATTTACACTATGTATAATAATTGTATTTGTGTGTGCCTGTCCCTAAATAAACAATGAATTCGTATGATAAGCAAGGATCAAAAATTTAGAACTCAATATTTCACTCAGCTTACTACTGAAAGTCATCATCTGTACAAGTGATAACTCTGCTGAGTAGTTTATCTTAAGATGCAGCAGTTTGTCTATGATCCTTTGTCTACATCCCCTGGATATTTTAACTATATCCTTTATTGTTATCTAACACTAAGATGCTATTTTCACAATAATCCCACAATTTGAAGATAAGACTAAAATGTTTCAGTCCATCATGGATTATTATACTAATTTACTGACCTTCACTAATGGACAAAAGCACTTATGTACAGTTCAGGACAGTTATTAAAGGAAACATTTCACCACGAGTGGCACATTTATTAAGGGAAACTGTTTTCTTTAATAGATGTACACAAGTGCCTTTTTCCACATCCTGTCGGTATTCCCATACCATTTCAATAGTAATGTTTGAGAAAACCCTGCCTAGCAAAGGCCAGCAGACCTACTGCAGTGATCCTCTTATATTCATTGGCTCATTACAGTTAAATTTACAAAAACTTATAAAAACTGCAGTTTTGGAATTTTTCAATGTGTAAAGGAAATAATTATATGCATAAAGTGGTGATGAAATGTAAAGGTTTAACCAAGAAAAATCCAATGTAAGGTAATCTAAAAGTAGTTGTACAAATGGAGCATATAATTTTGGTTTTGAGGATACACTACTGTTTTGGGCACACAAACTGTATATCACATAGAATTAACTAAACATAATGATGTAAAAGATTTATTCTCATACAGTGCTTTAACTTACTGACAACCAATGGAGTCAAGACAACCAATACATGTAACAAAACCTAACAATCTCTACAATAAGTCACTGACATTTTTGGAGTGTTATCCTAGGTAATTTAAACTATGTACAATAATTGTAAGTAAGTACATTTATTCAGATATACACAAATACAGTTACATAGATTATCATACATAGCAGCATATGTGTAGAAAACCTGGGATAACCCAAAAAAGTCAGTGACTCATGTGTACCCGTGTCAAAATAAATTTAGTTAGTTACTAACTATTGTTACTGGGATATTAGTACCTTGTATCCTCAAAGATAAAGACAGACTTCAGACTTGCCCTTCATAAGAATGACAATGACTTTCAAGTTAATATACAAATCTGCACAATAATTTGAAAGCCCATAGTATACATTTCAAGAAAACCTAAACTAGAACTAAGTTCACAAATACAGTTACATAAATTATCAAACATAATCTTAGTTCACAAATACAGTTACACAAATTAAAGGACCCCAATGGAAATAAGTCACTCTGACTTTTTTTGGGTTATCCCAGGTTCTCTACACATATGCTGCTATGTATGATAATTCTATGTAACTGTATTGTGTATACCTGAATAAACTTACTTATCAAACATAATAAGATGTGTAAATTACCTAGGATAACCTGAAAAAGACAAAGTTGACTTATTTCCACTGGGGTCCTTATACAAGGTACTGACAATTTAAAAATAACCAAGATACAAGTTACATTAACCAGTGGTCCTCTTACTGAACACTTGTGTCCTCTCACACCTGGGTTAAAACACACATACAAAAAAAAATCTAGAATAATTACGCAAGAGGTAGCCGGGGCAGCTGGCTGCCAAGGACGACACAAACGTTCAACCTTTCACATTTCTGTCGATAATGTCATTTTTACACTGCCACTTTCATGTATAACTTGCTAAGATATGGAGCAGGAAAGCCGGCACACACACTGGCCCCCAAAAACACATTTGTGACACTTGGACACCTGCCAGAAGTATATTTACAAGTGTTGATACACCATCACCTGGACATATCACACCCACATCCCTAAAACACTCTTTTCCTTTTTCCGTGTGAGAGAGAACACTTTTCTTTCACGATCTCATTTGCAAAGATAAGAGTAGTAGTGGGAGGGGAAGATAAAGTGAGAATATACTCACATGTTGACAGTACGAGGTCTTGCCTCAGACTGGCAGGGAGGAGCTCTCTACCTCACCCACTCTCTCACATACTACACTTGTAACTCTTACTTTAACTCTTGTAAAATAATGTAAACATTATGTCTGATATATTAGTTCACATTATTGGTGTGGTTTATCGTTTAATATGTATGTAGTTCGAGTAATGTAGAACTCTGAGATGACGAGTATTAAGAAGACATGACGATTTCCTCAACTTTCATGTACGCCTACTGATGCTGTTAATCTTTTTTGTATATATATATATACATCCTTCAAGGTACACTGGGCATATTACAATGCAGCTATGAGCACTAAATAGCACTCAAAAATGGTTGGATAAATGGGGGTTATTAAGACGCGAGGTTAGCAAGAACATGGCGGCTGTGGCGGGTACTTTAACATTAACTCTGACATTTCAAGTAGACTTGTGCAACGTTTGGGTGTCTTTATTCTGGGAATGTTTTACTATGCAGTGGCTTCAGTCCAGTGCTGTTTTGTCAAGACTGATGGACTGAGCACATCGACTCCAGGCTGAGGGACTGATTACCTCAAACTTCTACTCTCCTTACCCATTTCTACTTTGTATTGGACTGATGAAGCCACTGTGTGGCGAAACGTTTCTTCAATAAAGATTCCCATGTGTTGCATAAGTGTCTCAATTCTTCAACTTGTCGGTTTTCAAAACCATTTATCACAATAAAGGATCACATTAAACTGCATATGTCTTTATATTTCCATTGTGTCGGTATTTTATACCATTCATTTCCATCCAGACTTGGACCTGCCTCGCATGGGTCAGTAGGCCTTCTGCAGTGTTCTTTCTTTCTTATGTTCTTATGCAACATATGGGAATCTTTATTGAAGAAACGTTTCTCCTACACAGTGGGCTTTTTCAAGTCACAAACAGATTTGTTTGTGACTTGAAAAAAAGCCCACTGTGTGGGCGAAACGTTGTCAATAAAGGATCATATTAAACTGCATATGTGTTTATATTTCCATTGTGTCTGTATTTTATACCATTTATTTCCACCCCGCCTCCTGCTTCGCCTCACCTGCTACGGCCCTGTGCTGTACTTTCTATAAGATTGATGGACTGAACACAACGACTCCAGGCTGAGGGACTGATTACCTCAAACTGCACCTCTCCTTATACCTTCCTGTTTTGTATAAGACTGATGAAGCCACTGTGTGGCGAAATGTTTCTTCAATAAAGATGTTGCATAAGTGTCTCAATTCTTCAACCCTTCTTCGGTCGAGTACAGAAAGTAGGCAGGAGCAGTAGAGATGTGAAGACGATGTAATCAGTCCTTCTACGACTTCAAGGGTGATGGACTGATTACATCGTCTTCACATCTCTACTGTTCCTGCCTAATTTCTGTACTCCACTGAAGAAGCCTATTGTGTAGGCGAAACGTTTCTTCAATAAAGATTCCTATATACTGCATATGTCTCAATTCTTCAATGGGGTCAGATCTGAATGAGAATTAGTCACTAGTAGCGTTCCACAAGGTTCAGTTTAGGCCCTCTCTTGTTCATAATTTACATTAATGAACTCGATGAAAGAATTACAAATGACATGACAAATTAATGTCTTGGTCTGAAGTTCAGCGTGGACAATTGTAAAGTACTAGAGTACTAGTCCTTGGTAATGAAAATAGCCTTCGAAGTTATAAACTAGGTGAAAGTAGAGCCTGATCATACAAAATGTGAAAGACTTAGAAGGCATGGCAAGCAGAAATCTAAAGCCAAGACAGCAGTGCCTAAGACTGCGTAATAAGGTTAACAGATTACTAGGATTTATTTCAAGAAGTATGGGCCAACAGGCCTGCTCCAGTGTTCCTCCTTTCTTATGTTCTTATAAGTAACAGAAGTATAAAGTTGTGCAACGTTGCCACAATAAAATGTCACATTAGTTGCACTTGTGTCCTTTTACTTTACATATTGTCGGTAATTCTACCAACTTTATTACAAGATGAGGCCTCACTAGCGAGGCCTCATTTGAATTATGCCACTCATTTTTGGTACCCTTAATACAGGATAGATATAGACTCATTGGAGAACATACAGAGAAGAATGATTAAAATGATTTACTGTATAAGGAATCTCCCGTACGAAGAGAGACTTACAGCCTTGAATTTTCACTCTCTGGTGAGACGTAGAATGAGGGGATATATCATCGAAGTGTATTAGTGGATGATGGGCATGTTAGGTAAGACACATATGCAACAGTTAGGTATCTTTATTTCGAAACGTTTCGCCTACACAGTAGGCTTCTTCAGTCGAGTACAGAAAAGTTGATAGAAGCAGAAGAGACTTGAAGACTATGTAATCAGTCCATCACCCTTAAAGTTTTGAGGTGGTCAGTCCCTCAGTCTGGAGAAGAGCATTGTGGAAATATAAACACATATGCAGTATAATGTGATCCTTTATTGACAACATTATACTGCATATGTGTTTACAGGCAAAAGGATGGGGGGGTTGGCCTGTACATTGCAGAGTCACTTGTTTGCACAGAACTGCTTAACGCCTCAAATGATGTAGTGGAAGTTTTAGCAGTAAAGGTCGAGAACCAAAACCTAGTCATTGTGGTAGTCTACAAGCCTCCGGATGCAACATCCCAGCAATTCCAGGAACAGCTGTTAAAAATTGACCACTGTCTGGAAAATCTTCCAGCTCCTGCACCCAACATCTTGCTCCTGGGGGATTTCAACTTAAGGCACCTAAAATGGAGGAATATAGCAAATAATATTGTTGCAGTAATAACACCAGGAGGCAGCTCTGATGAAAACTCACACTCACACGAGCTTTTAAATTCTGCACAAAATTCAATTTAAACCAGCAAATAATAGAGCCTACTAGACTGGAGAATACACCAGACCTCATTTCACTAACAATGATGATTTGATAAGAAATGTCACCATATCATAAAACAATATACTCAGATCACAACATAATTGAGGTTCAGACATGTATGCGTGGAGCCCCAGACCGACATAATGAGACTAGTCACGAGGGAGCATTCACCAAATTCAACTTCAATAACAAAAACATAAAGTGGGACCAAGTAAACCAAGTCCTAACCGATATAAGCTGGGAAGATATACTAAGCAACACAGACCCCAACTTATGCCTAGAACAGATTAACTCGGTGGCACTCGATGTATGCACAAGGCTTATTCCTCTAAGAAAAAAGGAGGAGTAGATGTAAAATAGAAAGAGACAGGCGCTCCCTTTACAGGTGACGGAAAAGAATAACAGAGCGGCTAAAAGAGGTCAATATATCTGAAATGCGTAGGGAGACACTGGTCAGAGAAATAGCAAGCATCGAACTTAAGCTAAAAGAATCCTTTAGGAGTCAGGAATCGCGGGAAGAACTAAAAGCCATAAATGAAATCGAAAGAAACCCAAAGTATTTCTTCTCCTATGCCAAATCAAAATCGAGAACAACGTCCAGTATTGGGCCCCTACTTTCAAATTCAAAGTTTATTCTCTATAAGGATTACAATGTTGAGTTTACAGAAATTTGGTTATTGTTTGGTTTAACATGTAGTAAAATTGAGATTACAGAGTGTACCACTAGAACGCTTAGCATGGCTAGGCATTTCGGGCATACTTAGTTTTATTCTTAAATGTAAAATATTACAAATTATGAGGTAAGTTGGTATTATGGCTAAGTGACTAAATACTATTTAGTGAGTTTAGCAGTGTGAATGCTTTTGTTTTGGCACAGTATATAGTTTCAGTATTGGAGTATCACAGGATTCATTATATTAAGACTGAGATTAACATTTCTGTTTATGGTCAAATGAGTGTGCGAGTGTAAGTGTGAACCACCAGGTGGTATTCGTGAACTTAGTTGATGGGGTGTATCAGGGAGATAAGATGTTTTTTAATGGTAGTTTTGAAGGTGATGAATGTGTCTGCAGTTCTAGAGTTCTCAGGTAGGGTATTCCAGATTTTAGGGCCTTTGACATACATTGAATTTTTGTATAGGTTTAGTCGGACACGGGGAATGTCGTAGAGATGTTTGTTTCTGGTGTTATGCCTGTGGGTTCTGTCACAACTATCAAGAAAGCGTTTAAGGTCAAGGGTGATATTAGAGTTTAAGGCCCTGTAGATATAGATTGCACAGTAGTAAGTGTGGATGTACTGAACTGGGAGTAAGTTTAGATCTTTGAAGAGTGGGGGGGTGTGCTGCCAGGGATGGGATTTAGTGATTATTCTTACTGCAGCTTTTTGTTGGGTTATTATTGGCTTTAGGTGTGTTGCTGCAGTTGATCCTCAAGCACAAATAGCATAGGTGAGGTATGGATAAATAAGTGAGTGGTATAGTGTGAGAAGGGCATTTTGCGGCACGTAGTATCGTGTCTTGGAGAGGATCCCAACCGTTTTGGATACTTTTTTGGCTATATGCTGGATATGGGTGCTGAAATTCAGGTTATTGTCAAGGTATAAGCCTAAGAATTTTCCCCCATTATTTCTGGTAATTAGAGTGTTGTCAATCTTAATGTTAATTTGTGCATCTCCTGCTCTGCTACCAAACATAATATAGTAAGTTTTGTCAGTGTTAAGCGTAAGATGACAGCAAGGAAATGAGTGAGCTACTCAAGTCCCAATATGACTCAGTTTTTAGCAAGCCGCTAACCAGACTGAGAGTCGAAGATCAAAATGAATTTTTTATGAGAGAGCCACAAAATTTGATTAACACAAGCCTATCCGATGTTATCCTGACGCCAAATGACTTCGAACAGGCGATAAATGACATGCCCATGCACTCTGCCCCAGGGCCAGACTCATGGAACTCTGTGTTCATCCTATGGAGAGGGAGCATGGACACGGGGGTCGTCCCACAGTTACTAAAAACAACAGACATAGCCCCACTCCACAAAGGGGGCAGTAAAGCAACAGCAAAGAACTACAGACCAATAGCACTAACA